TTGAATACCCATAATTCTCCACTCTGCATACTCAAATACGAACACTGAGGGAACATCAATGAGGGGTCATAAATGGCACATTAATCTTATCTACAACTTTAATTTATTTTGTGAATGTAGGCCAGTATAGGCGCTGGGCAGATCTTTTTTGCACATTGAGGAATTGCCTTTTATGCACTCAGGTTACTGAGTGCAAAAAGGGCGAGGAAAGGGCAGGTCTACTTGTGCAACTGGTATTGTGGTCAATAGAGTGAGAAATGTAATCTATTTGAAAAATGAAATTACTCCGGCATTCAAAATTATCCATCAAATAATGTAATTCAATCCACATGCAAAAGTTTTGTTAAAGTTTGGGTTTTCTTGTCTGTCTCTTACACTTATTGTGTGAGTGTTAAAGCAAACGTGAGAGCTCTTTACCTTGTACTTAAGCTATAATCCTGATGCTGCCGCAGCCTGTTGTGGTAAAGAGAGCTGAGCAGAAGGCAAAGCTTTGCTGGACAGTCTGCTTTCCTTCCCTGACCTATGGCCACAAGCTATTGGTAGTGACACACATAACCTTCCTTCAAGGGGTGTCTGGGCTGCCCTCAGATATGTCAGACATGTCTTCTAGATACCTCCTTTTTGAGGTATTTTGGGCATGCCCCACTAGGAGGAGATCCCAGGGCAAACACAAGACATGCTGTAGAGAGCTGGAACAGAAATGTCTCTGAAGAGGAGGAGGCGGTGGCTGAAGGGAGGGGTGTCTCAGCATCTCTGCTTAGATTAGATTACTGCAACCAGTTAAATAGTGAAAAGTGAATAGGTGGATGAACTGTTCTATGTTATCCGATAACGCGATAGTGTGGAGGTACATTAATACACATAGCACTGGTAACTGTAGACATCAATAATCCACCATCAATACCTCTTTTCTCAGGGTAGCTCTTGCACAATTTAAGCTGCAAAACTGTTACCAATATCATGTATTACAATAACCTCGATCCATAGTGCTAGAGTCTGGGTGGTAAAGGGAATTTTCCATTATGGATTTTGGCTAACTGCCCCCAGTAATGACTCCCACACTCCCACATAGACAAGTACACTGTACACTGTATTAAACTGCATGAACGAAAGTCAAAAAGTGGGGTTTCATTTACTGTAACCTATGGGGATTATACCTTAAAAGTTAGATTAAATTTAGGATTTGAGTTTATGTAATACAGAATAATGAGTGTGAAAGCAATGCACTGAGAATTTGCGTTTTAGATTTCACGAAATACGTACGAACCCAGAGACAAAGAATGCAACTATACAGATATGCAGAAACAAGAAGCATACGCTGTTCGAGAGCTTAAAGGGAAGGAAGTGCACAGGGAACTTGTTTTAGTCCATTATTTTAAGCCCCAAATGCACACATGCCAGGGTCTTTTAGTCATCCAGCATCTCTGAACAAGAAGTATTCTGAAGTTTGTGACAGTGTCCTCTCTCACTTTCCTAGTAGATTCCCTGCAGGGACCCATAACCCACTAAGAAGTCATGTCATTGTCACAACGATTTTTGACTGGCCACACAGACAAGTCTGAAACAAGACAGTAATGCACAGCTATCAAGCACAATATAAATGCAGATTATGTTTCCTCCTGTCTTTACTCCCTAGGAGCCCCGGGAGGTTTCACACTGGCAATTGCAAAGTGCGATCTTCTCATAACCACTTAGTTCAGCAGTATTTGTTTGCTTTCAAGCTTCCTCTGAGCCTGCAGGATTAATCATTAGGCTGATTCTGCTGTTATCTCACTACTTGGTCTCTTTAATGTTAATGTGGAAATCAGAAAACGGCTACACCGCCATACAAAAGAAGCACCAACTCTTTGAGAAGAAAGTAATTGTTAACCCTGTCGGTTAACTGGAAAGCGATTACTCACATGACCTTCAAATGGTGCGCAAGGCAGCAATAAAGGTCATTTTGAAAGGTTAATGTTCTCAAGCCTGCAGGTCATTAGAGCATAAAGAGTTTGGAGTTTTTATTAACAAAACAAAACAGCTTGCTGAACATTACCCCATCATTACCCTATCATAAAACATGCTCCATCCTTTATATGCTTAAAACTTTTTCCTTAAACAATTAATGCCGTAGAGAGTGCACATACATAACAGGTTCTGCTGCAGTGAGGTTACTGATCTCCTAATATTTGTTCAACTCTGCCTTTCACTAAAGTTCACTAAACTACAGCGATACCAGTCTTTCTAGCTTTAGATCATTGACTCGTTTGCATAGTTTGCATGTTCTTCGTCCCTTCTTTTCTCTGCATGCTTAAGTGTTTCTCACAGTTTCCCACAGTCTAAAGATATGCTTGTATAGGGCTGTGCGATATGACCAAAATCTCATATCCCGATATAAGAATTCTATCGTCCGATATAAACGATAATAACGATATAAATCACAAAAATTTAATATTTAACATTTTCTGTAAATTCTGTGAATCTCGGGCAGCTCGACTTGCGTGAAGTGTTTCCAGCTGCGCGTCCTTTACCCGGAGTCGAGTGTTTTTATCATGCATGAAACTATACATTTTTAGACATAAGTTGTAACGGCTGCCGTTTTCTTTGTATTTGAGTCTAAGGTTTATTTTTTAGCACCTGGCGGCTCTTTTTTTACTTCTCATCCGTAAATAATCTGCTCTTTCACGTGATTCAGTTTATTTTGAAAAGTCTCAACAGGATCTTGAGCTTTATTGTGAAAGGTTTATGTGGAACATAAACAAGCGGACACGTGAAGCTGTTATCGTCGATGTTGCTAACGACAACGCATAAAACAGGCGCTTGTCCATCAGTAGTGTGGTTATATAAAATATAAGAGAAAGAGAGAACTTTAAGAAAATAATATAACCACTACAGTGACCATCAGAACGATGAAAAAATATTGCCATAAACAATTTATTTTGCAACACCACGAAACAAACGATAGCGTAAAATGAAACGATAAATGTTTTTATATCGTCATCCGATATATATCGTTATATCGAACAGCCCTATGCTTGTAGGTTAACTGGCAGCAGGTGTGGATGTGACTCTTAATGCTTACCGGTCTCTCTGTTAACCCTGTGATGGACTGGCAGCCTTTCCAGGGCCTACTCCCTCGCATGTGTCAAAATACGCTGTCTTGGCTATTAAAAACATGTTACAAGTTCATGGTCATGCAGCTTAAGTAGGATGTGTTTGCTTTCAAGTTGCATCTCAGCTCAAAGTAATCATTAGGTTGTGTTATTGGGCCAATCACACAACAGACAGTAAAAGCAAAAGAATAATTTCATAAGAGACCTGTTGTTTTACTGAGCAGTGATTACCTTTATGACCTCTATTAGTGGGAACAGTTACAAATAAGGTCATTTTCACCTTGTGAAGTTTCATTTTCAGGACAGAGTTTGCAACATTCAACACCAAATAATTTGAACATGTTTTACATCATAAAACATTAATGCTGTCTTTTTTATGCTTTAAGCCTGTTTTATCTTTTATTGAAACAGTTTCAGTGAGTAGACTATAAGCTTAGTCATAGGACAAGTGACTTTTTAGTGCACATTCTCAAAGTTGTCAGTCTTCTTTCTACAGAACGAAAGCAAAAAGCTTAAAAAATCCACAGTTGAAAATTGTGTACATAACCTGCACAACTGGAATGGAAAGTTAACTGTTTCCTAAACAATTATTTCGGTTGAAGCTGCAAATACTCAGCAACAATTTAAGACCGAAGTAGAGCTTATAATCTGCAATAATCTGTGCAGCTGTACCAAAGTTAACTAAACAACAATGATACTGATCTATTTTGCTTTTGCTTGGAACAGATGGAATTTGACACTGACATATTTGCAAACCCCAAGATTTCCAGTTCATGTGACACTGATACATACTACCAGAGCTGTTATTTGACCCGTTAATTAAATGGACGGGTGGTTGGATGTCGCTTTAAGATGTGCATATAGTGGCAGTAGGTATCTGATGATAAAGACTTTTGTCACACTCTAACTGTCACTCTTCTATCCACAGCACATTCATCATTGAGAAACAACCTCCACAGGTCCTTAAAACCCAAACTAAGTTTGCCGCTACAGTGCGCCTTCTAGTGGGAGGCAAGTTGAACGTACACATGAATCCCCCACAAGTCAAAGCTACCATCATCAGTGAACAGCAAGCCAAGGCCCTCTTGAAAAATGAAAACACAAGAAAGTAAGTTTGGTGCATTGGTGCAAATGGACTAGTGCTTTTCTACTGATCACTCAAAGAGCTTTATACAACATGATTCATTCACCCATTCATAGACAGTGTTGGGAAGGTTACTTTTAAAATGTATTCCATTACAGATTACAGAATACATGCCACAAAATGTATTCTGTAACGTATTCCGTTACGTTACTCAATGAGAGTAACGTATTCTGAATACTTTGGATTACTTAATATATTATCATGCTGTTTACAACTACATGAATGTACTATTGCTGTGATTTATTACTGTTACTGAAGGTCCGCGGCTCCGAACCGTAGTAAAGGGACCTCTGACTAATACGTCGGGTTCCGTGTCGGGCTCGTAGCCGAAAACTAGCTTTACTTTGTTGTCTGGGTCAACTTTGCTAGCGAGAGACAGAGAGAGGCGTTGAAAGGCTGCTCCAACAGAACTTATTGTTTTTGGAGGAAAACACGAACACGGTGTACAGTCGAATCTTAATAGCTTACTTACAACTGGGCTCGTCAGGCACTCTTTTTGGCTGCAGTGGTTATTATTATATTTACATGCTTCCAGCTCCTGTTTCAGCTCGATGACAGCTCGTACTTTTCCTTTTTCTCCCTCCCTCGCTCACAGATACATAACGTGTATGGCAGTCCATTCTCCCAGCAGCACGGACTACACTGCCTATGATGCTACATTCTTTAGAGCTATACCGGTAGCATTCTGCCTATTAGCTTAGCACAACAACAACAAAAAGGCCTCTCTCACCCAGGAAATACGCAGAGAGAGCGTCACCCTGTAACCATGGCAACCGTAATGCTGCCGCCTGGAACAACAGAACGTAGCTGTCAAACAAAACCCAAACAGTCCTGACCCGCCACAATATGAAACAGGGAAGTACCGCCGTGTAATCCATTTATTTCAACAAAGCAACTGTATTCTAAATACCACCTTTTTAAACGGTAACTGTAACGGAATACAGTTACTCATATTTTGTATTTTAAATACGTAACGGCGGTACATGTATTCCGTTACTCCCCAACACTGTTCACAGAGCATATACATACATCCTCTTTTTTTTTTTAAACGTTCAACTTTTCGCATTCCATCTTCCTTGACAGAGAGAGAGATAACACTGCAATAAGTTACCATAGCACAATTAAGATAAGCGGTTTGGTTTTCTTCCGAGATTACGGGATCCCATGATGAACTCTGGCCTAGTGTGTTCCGAGACCTCACCACAGAAACATGGCTGGAACTTGAACAATGTCTAAGAGGAATCTATGGTGTGGACACAGAATCCGCATTTAGCCTGTTCCACAGCCTTGTTCCACATTCCTCCTAACTAATAGAAACCTTACAAGACTGTAGGTCTGCCAGGCCGCCAGTGGGAAAGTGTCTGAGCGGCTACATCTTAGCAAAATCTACAGAGCAAATCTACATACATCTGCTGCGTCTCATCTAAACCACTTGTCGAGAGACTTCTGCCACAACGTCTCGCTCAAAAGCATGTGACTAAAGAGGGACGCCACATGAAGCGTAGTCTAGTAATGCTAAGCATTTGTAACTGCATTTAACAAACCAATTTAACAAACCAGCAGTGTCCGCATGTCAGTAACTTAGTATGTAGGCAGTGTCTGAGGAAGTGAGTAGTGAATGAACGTAAAACCAAAAAGCACGACGTAGCTCTGCCGGTTAGTGAGGAAGTCGAAGAGATAGAAAGTGAGCAAGATGATCTTGCGAGGCATCTTAATAGTCTCCTGAACCCAACTTGCTCAGGTGTGGTTTCTATCCAGGTTGTCTCCACCCACTAATTTCCAGGAAGAAATAAAAGCATGCAGGCTACAAGGAAAGACAACAAGAAAACAGCCCTGAACCTGCCATACTTGTGTTTAGTGTTTACTGTTTAGAGAAGACTAACGGTGGTAGTTAAACCTGCCAATTATGCACGCAATACCCCCCCTACACACACACACCTACCAACCACTCCCTCCATACAAAACAAAAAGCTCCTGCTGTGTAAACATGCATTTGTAGATAACATCTAACTTTATTGTCTCTGTGTTTTAGTGATAGCAGTGGTGAAATTCTTAACAATAACTGTGTGATGGAGTACCACCAGACTACAGGCACTCTGAGCGCCCACTTCAGGAACATGGTAAGTATGAGCTATTAGGGAAGATTATTATTTCCATGTAAAAAATAAAAATAAAAAATAAAGCTGAAGTAGTATTGCCATTGTTCCTTCTATACAAAAAGTCTCTTAGCATTTAATCTAAAATAATAGCGCCGTGCTATTTGCCTTCTTTTGCTGCACTATACACGAAACAGGTAAATATGTGATTGTTTTGGGTCAATACAGGAGAGTTGCTCAGCCACTTATATAAGGGAAGTAATTGCCAATCATTATGTCCTATATAGCATTTTTTTCCCGTGGATTAAAATTGTGAACAGTAGTCCTTTGGAGGATCGGCCTGCAGCTTCAGTGAAGTTCTCCTCTTCATCACTAATGTTGTTAGCAACAATCTCCAGAGCCCTCCATGGATTATTCACATATGATCCCGATAATCTGCATGCATGTACTGACTGTGTGTGACGCTTATAAGCCTAACTGTGTAGTTAATACATACCATTTGTTCTTGCACATCATTTATCATGCAGTCTTTAAAGAGGATCAAGCGATCGGACAGACGAGGAGCAGAATCTGTCACAGAAGAGAAATTCACCATTCTGTTTGAGTCCCAGTTTAGTGTTGGAAGCAATGAGCTTGTCTTTCAAGTGAAGGTAAGAGGATGTAGGCAAATTAATGAATAAAAAACACTATACTTTAAATCATACTTAAGAAAAAAAAACCATTTTATTTATATATATATATATATATATATATATATATATATAAATAAAATATAGTTGCACATGCTTGCACATGCTGTAGGTAAGAATCTGGCTAGAGTACTCCCACTTGTTCCTTCTGTCTTTTTTCCTGTTGTTTTTATCATGTTTTAAAAAAAATGTATGAAATGCAAGAAATGTTTTATTGTGCTGTAAGTGCATTATTTACTGTTGCAGTTTTCCTATTATAATTTCCTCCTTTCTTTCTCTGAACAGACATTATCACTTCCTGTAGTGGTGATTGTTCATGGTAGCCAAGACAATAATGCCACTGCAACTGTATTGTGGGACAACGCTTTTGCAGAGCCGGTACGTAAATGTTTCAGAGATATTGCATGCAATGCAAACCTTCCTGGAACAAGTATTAAATAATTACTCAGCTTAGTGATATTTTTGTATCTTAATGCAGAAGTACTGTTAACTGCGAAAGGCCTTTGAATCAAATATTTCTGAAGCGCGCACATGTATAGTTTAGCTCTTACAAAATAATTGCTAGTTCTTTAGATGTAATGTAACACGTGCAGCCCTGAACTGAAACACAAATGTGTGTTTAAATCTGTTTTAAATTTAGGTTTTTAATGTAATTATTAAATATTTAAAAAAAAAATTCTCTAAAAAAAATGTTTATGCAAAGGCATAATGTGTGTGTCACTTATGTTTTGTGTCTGTGTGTTGTATCTGGTGATGTGAGTGAAAATTCTTTGCCGTTTTCTTCGTGTGTTGCAGGGCCGGGTGCCTTTTCTCGTGCCAGATAAGGTGCTTTGGCCTCAGCTGTGTGAGGTCATCAACATGAAGTACAAGGCAGAGGTGCAAAGTAATCGAGGTCTGTCGGAGGAGAACTTGGTATTTCTGGCTCAAAAAGCCTTCAGCAGCTCCAGCAACAACCCTGATGACTACCGGAGCATGACTATGACCTGGTCACAGTTTAACAGGGTTAGAAACGGCCTCTTTCTTACTCATGATCCTGTTTGTCTCTATACATGCACACAGCTTTTATGAAGAGTATTCCATATATCCGTTTTAGCTTGAAAGTATAGATTTCTGTCGTGCTGCACTTCATGCATTTTTTAAACGCCTGCAGGCAAAGTTCAGTTAGTCATTTGATCCACATACTTGTTCTTCATGAAAGGATTTACTATTGCTGTGTTATTCATACATAGAAATATTTCTTGCTCCATTTGCAGCAGTTCAAGGGGTTTAATAAATTTATCCCTGATATAACTGAACCTCTGAAAATGAGCGACTATATATCAAAATAGCTGTACTTCCTAATTAGTTAATGCAATATGTTTTTTTTTTAAACTCCTTTAATTCAACATGAAAGACTTCAGTCAAATCTTGATTTTTTTTAAATCTAAAACCTACTGTGCTGGTGCACAGTGGTAATATGACCTAAGTGTAGGTCGGTTTAATGGGCTTGTTTATCCGCACAGGAAAATAAAATGCTGAAAGCCTCATTTTCTGCTTCTGAGTAGCTTGTGATTCAGAAAATGCACTCAGATTCACCACAGGCCATGTGTCTTATTAGATTACAGGAACATTAAGTTTTAATCACTCCAGAGATGTAAGTATGGGTTACAGAAATATGCAGAACTTTACCCAGAGACGTGTACAGCTGCACAAATTTTTAAATCATAAAGAGAACTGTGATTACTGTCAGCGGTCGAGGAGATTTTCATTATTACAGACTGAATTGGGTCATCTAAAAACATTTTAAGTTGTCAGTTCAGTCTGGGGTTTTTTTGTTTGTTTGTTTTTCATGTGTTTTTAAAAAAGAAAATTTCCCCAAACTATGCTCCTTTACAGGAAAGCTTGCCAGGGAGGAACTTCACATTTTGGCAGTGGTTTGATGGTGTGATGGAACTCACAAAAAAGCATCTGAAACCACACTGGAATGATGGGTAAGGAAACTGCTGAGGGTTTTTGTTCAGTTTTAAAAGATTCAAAATGAGAAGGGACAAGAACAAGGCACAATTTTTATTTATTTTTTAAATTTTTTTTTTATTAATGTCTCTCTTCCTCTATTTTTAGAGCCATCCTGGGCTTTGTGAACAAGCAGCAAGCTCAGGATATGCTCATGTCTAAACCCAACGGTACCTTCCTGCTGCGCTTTAGTGATTCTGAAATTGGAGGAATTACAATCGCCTGGGTGGCAGAAAATCCTAACAAAGCAGGTAAAGCATGCAAAACACAAAATTTCTCCATTTTTGTTTTTTAAACCACACTGTTCATCAGACCGGCCTCTTTCTAACAAGCACAGAAGCCACAGAGAATTAAAGGAATCCCATTCAGTTTTTCTTTTGTTGCTGGTTTTTTCCCAGGTGAAAGAATGGTTTGGAACCTCATGCCCTACACAACCAAAGACTTTACCATTCGCTCTCTGGCTGACCGCATTAGTGATCTCAACCACCTTCTATTCCTCTACCCTGACAGACCCAAGGATGAGGTTTTCTCCAAATACTACACTCCGCCTCTCTGTAAGCGTCCTTCTGAGCACACTGTTACTTTCAAATTTGAATCTCACAGCCGCGAAGCCTTCATTACTGAATGATGATCACATCGAGCCATTGCTTATTCTGTCTCCCTGTGCTTGTCTGTTTCAAAGCTAAAGCAGTTGACGGTTACGTGAAACCACAGATCAAACAAGTTGTGCCTGAGTAAGTGTCCGGCTTCCTGTTCTCTCTTTTTCTCGTGTCCTTTCATCACCGTTTCCTCTCCAGTCTTTTCTCATTGCCATCCACCCAGCATTTTATTCTGTAAAGCACAATTTAGAGTTAATCACAAAATACTGGGCCATGAATTCAGATCAGCTATTAGCTAGCTGTTACAGTTGGAGGAGGCCAATTAAGCGCGGCCTGGGTTCCTGTGTGAGCTCGTCTTCCGCTGATCATAAGAGTTAGGCTTGTTAGTTAGCAAGGCACGCTCCCTGCCTTTCTCCACAGTTGGTTCACCTGCAGATATGGAAAACGGCGATACAAGAAGGCCTGAAAATCATGCTGAGGATCGTTGCTTAGGCAACTACTGACACAGGCTCATGGGGGGTTGTTGTTTTCTTTTCTTTTTTTTTCTCCTTGTGTCTATGTGTAGATACATTCAGAGATGTATATGTGCTTTGTTCATTACCAAAATGTGGTGTTTTGGTTGTTTTCAGGTTTGCCACAGCCAATCCAGACCCAGCAAGTGGGAATCCAACTTACATGGATCAAGGTGCCTCTCCAGCACCTGTCAGTCACCCTCACGCCTATGGCATATATCCAGCTATGTGAGTTTACAACATTTTTTCCGTATCCCAATTTTGTGCGTGCAAGGAGTTTCTTGTAACTCCTGCTGTTTGATCGCTGTTATGCCGAAAGCTTGTGTGAGTGGCCTCTATCTATTTCCTGTGGCAGGGCTGACTCTATGTTGGATGCAGATGGAGACTTTGACCTAGATGACACCATGGACGTAGCGAGGCATGTAGAAGAGCTTCTCCGGCGGCCTGTAGACAGCCAGTGGAGTGGCCAGCAGTCGTGACCTTGGACCGTTTAACTCGCAACAAAACCAAATGAGCCCTGCCCAGCAACTTGCCCTACTCACATCGACATGGTTTAATTCCATTGGTCTCTCTCATTTTTTTTCATATTGCTATAATGTGAAATGTTCATAATGGTTGTGATTTTTTTTTTTTTTTTTTTTTTTTTTTTGCTTTCCAGCATGAAAACATGCATGTCAGTGACTTCTTATTGTTTTTATTTGTGTAATCAGTGTTTGTAAAAGAAAGTATAATGCAAAACCTCTAATGTTACAATGTTATGAAAAAGAAGTAATGGTCACTCACATAGTGCATGCATTTTCAATTGATTTTAAACTGATTTTTTTTTTTTAAATATGCTACTGTATGAAGTTATTTTAGAAGTTGAATGTTTTTATTTTATATTTTCTTCTTTGTAAATGGGTTATTAGTATTTTATTAGTGACATTGAACTTGCCCTTAGACAAAAAAAAAAGAAAGAAAAAAGAGAAACTTTGATGAAAAGTTTTGATTTCGCTCCTAACAACATAATCCGAGTCACTGCTCTGGAGAGTTACAGTCATTTTTCTTCAAACCCATATACACTAACCTAAAGGCAGAGTGACTCTTTGCTCACCGCAACTGACAGCACACACGCTTCAAAGATACACATGCACAAATTTAAGGTGTATTTGTTTCTGATTTGTTCACCAGCTGAAAGGAGGGGAGAATTATGTACCTCCCTTGCTCTCACAGGGCTACTTTTTCTTCTGTTTGTACCTGAAATGCAAATCTGAGCATCTACCCAGTGCTGCCTGCTTGTCCTCTCAGGTCCCTCTGTGCCCCTCATCAGTGCTACCTCGCATTATTCCACTGACAGTCTCTGTTAATGATTCTCTTGTTGTTTTCTGCACCACATTCACACCAGTAGGTACGGTCAGACGTTTTTCTTCTTTTAATCTGCATTATTTTGTGTGAAGACGATCCCTTGCTGCACCGGCTAACACTGTTGGCTGTTTTTATGCTTGAAACTGCTCACCTGGAAAACACCGGAATCATGAAGTGTCACGTCTGATTGTTAATGCCTGAATATTTGAGGCTGTTCTGCTCCCTTGTGACTTTTCTGCCTTTCAGTGCATATATTTTTTATTTCTTTGCATCTATGAACGAGTGCAGACTTCGAATGCTTGCACATACTCATAAGCTGCTGGGTCATGTTTAGGATTCTAGGATGTTGAACTGTGTCAGTCTGTTTCTTTGCCTGACTTTTGATTTCCCATATACCCCCACCCCTCCACACACACATAAAAAATAATTGTCTTGCATCTCAGGAATGAATCACTTTGCTTAACTGATGTATAAGCCAAAAAGAAGAGATCTATGTATACGAAATATATGAATTTATTTTCTCTATCTTAATTGTATTTTATTATTATTATTGTTTCACTGGCACTCCCAAATTGAATGTAACCTTTTGCATGACCGTACAATACTCTCTCCGTCAGATAAGAAGTCCCCCGTTGACCATAAGTAGCAACTGAAAAAGGACGCACGGCAACTGGAAATTAGAGGTGTAGTTCTGTGTTTGTCCAGTAAACACAACAGTATTTGAAATATTTCTTTTCCTTTTTTTTAAAAAAACAAACAAACAACTTTTTCTTTTGCCTCACTTTCTTTCCTGTTTTAGAAATCTCAAGCTACATGGACAGTCTTGTGCTATGTCTCTCATTATCATCACTTCTGAGCTTTGTTTCACTGTAGTCTGTGTATTTTTTAACGATATAGATGGCGCTGTGTGCTGTTTTATGTACGTACCCTGTTTGTGGTTTGGGTTTATGACTTGGAAGTTTTCCAAGCGAAAAAGCTGTTGAGTTGAAAAGAAGGAAATAAAGTTTTATAAATAATTTGAATTCAATCTGTAGGAATACTTTGAATTTTAAATGTCTCGTGCTAAATATGTTTTGTATGTGCAAATATACAGAGTAAAACAAGTAATATGTGATAATATGCAGTACAACATTATATCAAAGTGTTGGACTAATCGATATTCGATGAGGCCTTCCATATGGAGGAAACAAATAAAAGTAATTTATGCCAGATTAAGAATGTGAGCTGAAGTCATCACCAAAGAATCTTGATTCTTGACATTGAATTAAACGACTAAAAAACAGCACTTTAAAATAACACGCCTAGCTATTTGCATGAATATATTGACTATTGCACAAAGCACACCACTGTGATTTAGAGTTTTACACGTTTCTCCGCCAGGCAGTTGTTTCCTACCATAAATTATAATTCACCCACACTGCCTGTGAAGCTTTTGAATGATGTTAAGGTGTTTTCCAACGGTGTTAACAGGCTTGCAAACCGGAGCATGGAGAATTCAAACTGCTTCTCATATTGCACAATGAAAAAATATGTGGCATTGGGCCAACGATAAATGCAATTAAAAACATGAGATTCACATTCAGTTATTTTGAATGATCAACTCTAAATAGTATAGAAACGGAAAGCTTATTGAAAAAATAATAGACCATTTGTCAAAAGGCAGATCACCCCTGATCTGGGGCAGATCTACTGTGGAGGAGTGGCCTAGCATGTCCCATCACCAGTGCCGCCATAGTTTTGCATATGACAATACTGGTTATTAAAATAAGCTAGAATTAATACTTTGAGCCTAGCTACAATTAACGTTGACTTATAGATACTAAAACTGAATATGTTGCATAATATAATTTGCATAGCAACCAAAATTGCTTTATTTTCTTGCTTTTAGCAGCAACTGACACCTATAATTGTCCCTGAGCACAATTTGAATCAATAACATTTCAGATTTCAACACAGGTGGTTGATTGCTACACTGGAAATGCTATGAAGGTGAGTCTTACGTAACCCAGTAAATCATGAAAAATGAGGTTTAAATTTCTGGTGGAAAAATACACCCGTTTCTTCATGAAAGTGCAGATTTCTGACATTTGGGGGAAACAAAAACATGAAAAAAAAAGACTTGATACTGACCAATCCAACGCATAGCTAGCTGGATGGAACACACACTTAGCTACATACATACTTATTAAATAGACAAGACAGAAAAGAAAAAAAAACAAAGCAGGCACATGTAACTAAAAGAAAAATTAGGCCAAACAAAGCAAGAAAGAAACAGACAAACTATATATAAACGAACGGCATACATACTGCATGCATATGTAAACAAAATGTAATACATACAAAAGAAAGAAACAAAAACCAATAAAGAAAGAAATGGCAGTGAGCCACCCAACCCAACTCACATCCAACCCAAACAAAAAAAATATAGATACACCCACCCGGCTGCCTCCATCTAAAAGAAAAGGAATTAACACACAAGCAAGCAACATATAAACCAGCTCCTGCCAGCCAGCGGAGGCAGGAAACAAACATGGCTGTGGGTGTTTGCTAAATAAACAATCACCTAGCTGGTGTCAGGCATACATAAAAAAGACATAAATTACCATCCAAGGAAGTAAAAAAAAACCAAACACAGCCCAACCAATTTTAACAATGCCTTTTATATAAAAAAAAAAAAAAAAAAACTATAGCGAAAACGCAAAAGCTTGAATATGAAGACGAAAAAGAAACAAACACAAGTAGAACTGTACAAATAGAAACTAAAATAATTTACAGTACAGAAGGGACTATAGAACAACTGCCGGTAGGTCCATAGGTTTAATGTACAGGGCTTTACTTTCTGATTAGTTTTCCAAATCCTGCAAAACCGACAGATATCGATAGAAATTGGATATTATTTGAAGACTAAGTCACAACCCAGTGAAGCATGCTTGGTTACTGTAGACAAAAGTGAATGTTGACTGGAGGCGTCTGCAGCAAAGGCCCAGCAGAACATCTTAAAGAAGACACGGCATTTGATGATAACCATTGATCGTGGCCTTCAGGCAGTCATTAATTGCAAAGGATTTTTTATCAAATATTGAAAAAAAACAATCCTTATTTAAAAACTATATTTTACCCAATTAGTACTGAACCTCGTAGTTAAGGGAATTAGGCATTATAATGGCTGCAATTCCCAGTTAATGCAATATTGTTTGATTTCAAATTCACTGTAGTGGTGTACAGAAGAAGAATCCCCCCCAAAATGATACAATTAAATAAATTAATAAATACTGAAGATAGACAAAGTGAGATATATGAGATTATGCTTTTATAATTAGGCTACAGTAATTATGCTGCGTCCATTTGCAAAGAAAGTAATAAAATATATATGATATGTCAGTTTTGAGGGCGCAGACTGTTTTGTAGGTCAACCAAAAAATAATATACTTTTAAGGTGTGTTTATCTCCTGATGCTTCGATTTGTGCTCAGTCATCCAGGTAAGGAAATCCCAAAAAATTGATTCTGCTCTGCTCATGAAAGGATGATACTTTATTTTCCATCTATAGTTGTGTAACTACACATAGGTATAGGTTAGCACATTTTCTGAGTTAAGGGCATAAAATATATATATAAATCTTGACCTTGTAAATTGTCACTGTGTCTCCTTTCTGTGAGGATGACAAATTTCATGACACATATATTAAAAAGCATGAATTCGTGATTTTAACAGCAAAACATTTGAGGACAGTCAGCTAAAATTAAACAAAACTAGAAACTTTTCAAAGAAGCAGCTGTTAGCCATATTCTGTACTTTAATATCTCTATCTTTATTCCAACTTTTATGAACCAAAATAAAGAGCCACCACTAGATGTCAGCAGAGTCCACAGGATCAGAAAAGGGCCAGCTTTTCAGTGCTTCTTGCTAAATTTCAATTGAAAAAGTGTAGATTATTACCAGTAACAAAGCTTATTCATGCAGACTGATATCTTTGATGGCTTGGGTCTTATTCATAGCACTGAGCTGGCTTCTTTTCACATGCAAATATGGTCATAGTGCAGAAAATCTTTTTGCATCTAAATAATGGCTCCCATTGGCCTGTGGGATATTCAGGTATTTTTAGGTGTCCTGTATATTTGGTAACCTATCTTCTGGTAATCCCGCCCCTTCCATCCCGGTCACCTTCACTTCTTTGCTACTGTTAGCATGCCCTTTTCCTGTCTGAATACCATTTCTGAAGATCCTGGTACACTGATGTCTGATTCACTCCTGGCATGCATGCTGTTGATGTATATAGGATGTTCTCTTCAGAACCTGTATCCATATCCACATTTTCAATAATCTGTCTTAAGAGGTGCTTGTCTTTGTCCTATGATGGATAAAAAGTACAGCTTTTTCTTTTGAAGCACATAGCAGAATTGCCAAAAGAAAAAAATACTGCATGGGTTGATTTCACCTGATAAGGTAAAAGACTTTCTTGTCCATTGTTGCTTCTATTCACATTATCAGGCAGCGTAATCATTATGCTGTGTGCAAAGAGTATTTCAATTATTTACTGTCTAAGATTAAATCATAAAAAATTGTCCTCAAAATGTTGGCCCTCTGTGGGCCAAGATTAGGCCACTGTCAGTGAGTTACATTGAGCTCAGTTTCCCCCATTATTCAGAGGAGTCATTATCTAATGATCTTCTGATTTATTACTTTGTGAACAAAGCTGGTCATCAAATGACTACATCACTACAATGCACATAATGATATGGGTATCTGCAAAGTTTTGACAAGCACTACAAATAGACATATAGTAAAGGCTAGTGAACTGAAGATGAGAAATACATCTGACAATAGATCACCGCAGAGCAAGAAACTCTTCTTCATGAGCAATGAAGTCAGTTCTTCAGATTGTGAAAGTGAAGTTGATGATGCATCGGAAGCTCAGGCGTCAAAGACGACTTTAAGGTTGACTTTATTCTAGCCAAAAGATGTGTATCATTCACTTCAGCTCGCACACTGATGCAACTGATAGCTGATCAGGCATCAGCAGCGCTGCCTTCGTAGCAGATCAAAAGATGTTGTTGTCGAGAAGCAATCTTAACCAAGAAATGTTTAGAGCTGAGATACAAGAAGCAGCAAGCTGTACAGCCATGCTGCCTCGGGTGAGCAAGTGCAACATTAGTCAAAAAGTTGAACTAGTTGACAGTCCACATTTTCCATTTTTAGCATTTTATGTAAACTTCTGCACACACGGTACTCTTTCTATAATTGTTGTAGTCATGAATTAGCAATCATTGCAGTCTGTGCAAGTTATCTATACAGTAAGATGTAAGCTGGCTGTTTACCTCTGGAGAAAGAATCGTCACTTTGCAGAACAGTGTGTGAAAATATGCAAGAAACATCTACATACATGGCAAAAATGACACAAATGGCCCTCTCCCTAATTTGCCCCAGTCGTGGGAACTACCACAAACATGTTTTAAATATGCTGCCAGCTGTTTATTTTTCCACCTGTCAGTTTGATGAGTTTGTCAACACAACAGTGTCACTTTAAGATTGTGTAGTGTGTAGTTGACATGAAGGATCGGCTTGGTCATTGGCATTGCAGCTGGCTAGTTATCTGACAGTGATCTCTTTTGACTTTGTCCTTAAAAAAATCAATTGGAAGTGCACAATTAGTGTGTAAAAAAAAAAAAAAGAAGCACGGTTAAAAAAAGTGTTTCTAATGTTCATTCTTTTATTTGTGGTTTCGATTCCTGATTAACCAATTATCACATGTGCTAGCACAGGAAGTGGTGACAAAGATCAGGAAGACACACCCTCCGCTCCCCATCTGCGAACATCGTGAACTTCCTCTATAGATAGTCATCGCTGATATTTAGAGTTCTCATTTCTCACCATATACTAATATATGCCTTGCTCTTGCGGTTTCATTTAAATGTCCGAGAAGGCGACTCCTCCCAGCACTCAGGGAGGAGAGAGCCGTTAGATGCTTGCAGGTACGGCAACGGCGATTCCATTGGCCTGAACCTGGCAGCTACTGCAACAGC